GGTTCCGCTCTACAAAAAGGAAAAACGGACGGGTCTAAGGCCTCGGTAAGTCCTCCGACTGCTATAGCGCTGCATTATGGCTCGGTGTTCAGATGATGGTGGGGGAAGATATGGGAGCACCGTGGCCTCGAGACTCGTGGACTGAGAGCCTGTGCATAACCATCTCGGACTTGGCGAAAATTTCAATGATCTCACTTTAGAAAGTCGACCGTATTCAGACGTATATTCATATAAGCTGGTTTGTGTTGAGATAAGATGTATTTACCTGGGCCAAACGATGATCTGGACAGGTGTTGTGAGACTATTCGAAAATTTGGCTCTGGTTGGAGGTATCGTGGGTCGACCGGTCAAATTTGGCGCCGCCGCATTGTCACTAAAGAACGACCGGGGTCCTACTAGTAGTAGTACCGATACAAAGCACTCCAGAAGGAAGGCTGAAATCACTACGGAAATGAGAATTGATCAGACCCGAGGGAGAAAGCAAGGATGATCCGAGGCAAGGCAGACCTAGCTTATAATCCAATATAAACGGTCTAGCAAGTGCACGTCAAAGAAGATCTATGGGCTCGTTGGGAATAACAAAGCAGGGCAGCATCGCGAATCTGATCAGTGTTTCCTCGAATCGACGAAGATGGCCGCCAGCATATCAACAAATACACGAGGCTGCTGCACCAGCCAATCAAGTCCAGACATGTACTAGTAGTAACAAATTACAGGATCAGCGAACTTGATCATAACTTTTGTTCGACAGATTGATAATTGACATAAGATAGCTATATAATTGCGCAAGTACATACCACCAACAATCTGCTCAGATCGATACAACACAATGGCCACTCCCTCAGGTACGTCCTGCGATGTCCAACTTGCCAGTATTATTGAGTATACATGACACATTAAGAATCTTCCGATTTATCAACCATGGCTTTTGCTACTCCACGGTCATCTGTGGGCGGGTCCGCCTATTTAGGCAACTCGAATTCCGGCAATTCCGACACCTGGAGCACACGCGTGGCACGCGCCACTTCTAACTGGAGCAGCACTGTTATGTTGGACGATGATGTCCCCATCAATAACCGACCGCAGGCCGTTAGGCCTAACATGACTAGTAAGTCCTGATTTGATTTTTGAGTCTACCGACTGACTACGTACAAAGTCGCTGATATAATGGAAGCCATCGAATGCATGCGTGTCAACATGACAGATAGTTTTAATATGCTGCTTACACTTTCCACTGCGAACACAAAATACGCTGAGCAAGGCGTCACACTTGGCATAGCTGCGAAGGAGGTTGCGGAGACAAGCAAGGCTGAAACTATGACTCAGCTGCAGGATCTAAGGGCTCAGATTCAACGTGTGGAGGACAAGATTAATACAGATGAGAGGACTCGGAGATGGCTGGCATAGGGCTTTGTGGCATTGTAGTACTAATCAATTTGCGATATATAGACTTGTAACTGGAACTTCCAACTTAGTATAGTAGAGCCGCCCGAAATCTTTTGTTCGCCTGTTCTCCGCGAAGAAACGAGAATTTCCCTGAAGGTTGGCAGAGCAATGGCGAAGCCGTGAGTTGTGATTCGCTTAAAATTCACTTTCACTTTCTCTTGCACCTTTCGCTTCCGTTCAACTTCCGTTGGCCTCCGTTCAATCTGGACAATCTCTGCCATCTGGAAGCAGCATCCTATGACCTCGAGCGCCTGGTTGTATCCTTCCCGCCTCTTGGTCTTGCGAGCCCGTGTGGTGTCCCTATGAAACTATGTATTTTGAGCTTTCCAACCAATATTGAGTTCAGATCTAGCTTCGTCCTTGACTCCTTACATCAGTGAGTGATCCGGAACACTGCCATGTATGCATTTACTTTTTTTCGTTGTTTTCTTTCGAGAGACTCTCTCAGGTTCCTGCGCAGGATGAGGATTGGCCTAACGATTCTTGCCTTCTAGGACTGTGTGCGTGTGCGCCTTCTGACGTCGTACGATAATCTAGCGTCGGGAAAGCGCAGAGCAGTGCCATCGTCGCAGGTGAGTTCTGATGATAGTGCATCTCAAAGGTTATTGACGGACTTATCTCTCTCTACTGCCTGCCTCGCATTGCATTCACCCTCTCCAGCGGGTTCAAGCTGGACGGTCGATCGAAAGTAGTTTCCGTTGCGTTTTGCTTATGCTACAACGTTCAACGGAAGTCTAGGCCTAATATTAGTACTCGACTCGGATAGCACGGTTAGCCCGTTGGATTTCAGCCTTCTTATGGGCGCTTTCACCGTCGAACGGGAACTGGGCGTCGAAACCCTGATCTTCTGGCATACGGGTGCACAGAACGTCTCGCATCATGCGGTCCTGATCGGGAGACTCATCGTACTCTTTGAGGTAGGCTGATCCACAAGTTGTTGCTGTATATGAAGAGCCAGTGCGCGCTCACGTTGCTCTCTGTCATACTGGGGAGCATGATGATTAAGAGGGAAGGGGAGCGGGCGGTAGTGGGAACAGGGATGAGTCATTGGGACAGGTGTAGTGAAGGACATTGTGAATTTGGGATTGGGACGAGTTTATGAGGGATTGCATGTTGGGTGTTGAATTTATATGTCCGGATGATGTGGACTTGTGGACTACTAATATTTCCCTCTGTGAGCAGAGGCGTCCACTATTCTGTTGCGCACTCAGCGTAAGGGCGGGATCGCCACGGTGACTTCAGGCTAATAGTCACGTACTGTCACGATCGTGACCATTGAACGATTAACCTTAGTCTTAACAGGTCTCAACCCCAAATCGATGGAGCTACCTTGTCCTTCCTCCTTCGCCAGATGTATATATATGTCGTCTTCCGAATCGCCTCGAGGCTTGCGGTGACCGGTCAAGGGTATGGCCGATATCATATCTAAACGACGTTGCTACCCACTCTTCTGGTAATTATTATAATTATGGACAGGTAAATGTACCGTAAACTTCTCTGAATATACTTGTAGTTTCTTGCAGCGATATAATGGTTTGTTCTAGGGATGCCCGAGGCGTGGCGCGGCGATCATGGAGTGGGACTAGCCAAAGAACTATCTATCCCCATTGACTCGGTTTCTCAGGCCGTTACCCACCTGTACCAAGTATCAGAGGCGCGTCGAGTTTTCTTGAAACTTCCCGCGTCATGATCATTCTAACACATTTTTGCGTATTCCGGATATATGTGGCTCTTGGCCATGGAAAAACCTTACGGTTCATTCACGCATATGTTGTGTGAGGTATAAGGAATACGAAGCAATACAATCGCCCGACCACGCTGTTAATTATAAGGTTTTCGGCACAGATTGTACATGTTGAGAAGTGAAGATCGACACATGTAGTAACAGCCCCTTGTCACGGCTTCTCGAACCCCAGGACAACGACACGGACCCTTAGGTGCCACGCCACATTTTACCCTATTCCGGCACCCAGCTACACAGTTTTGAGCGGTGAAGAACTTTGGGCCTTGCGTTCTGGAAGGTCTGGTTCGAAAGTCACGTGACTTTTCAAAGTCAGTCGGCACGTTCCGGATATACACAATGTTACAAAGCATTCTAATGTTAGAAGCACACAAAAGAGATGCACAAATTATATCAACGTATGTAAATCGGGCACCAACAGCCTCGCCAGCCCCGCAACGTGGGCTTTTCCAACAGCCATCGATTAGCTTCCAAATTGTGATATGATGGTAACCTCATATCTTGCACGGTTCTTTGATCCTTCGTATCATCGTTTCTCGGCGTGTTCCGGCAGTTCCTTTGAGCCGGTACGATGATCGATGATCCTTTCTTGACCAATGCGATTTATAGATGAGCCACCTGCGTATGAATATTAATATTGTTCCACTGCCGCCGAGTTTTAGTCTACTAACCTGGTAGCAGTATATCTTTCTCCGAGTCAGAGCATGGCAAAGGCAATGCGTTGCAAGTCCCGCTTAAGCCACGTATGGCCATAAACACCTATTAGCTGTTCGTCGTTATGTTAGAATTTCAGCGGGTCTCTGCATACAAAAAGTATAGGTTAGCGCCTCAGGTTTCAGCAACACTGCCAAACTATGATAATGATTCGTCTGACGCTTAGCATTCGGTGTTTGGCGTTTGACGTTTGGCGTTCGGCGTTCGGCGTTGGGCGCTTGGCGTTTAGCGTTTGGTGTTTGGTGTTTGGCGTTTGGCGTTTGGCGTTTGGCGTTTGGCGTTTGGCGTTTGGCGTTTGGCACCGCCACACGGGCAACAAGTGAAAAGACGAGAACACGCACTAGATAAGAGCGGGACGCGGCCAGAGCACCATCAGCATCGGGTAAGCAAGTAAAAATATGAGAAGACGCACTTTCTGAGAGCAGGACGCGGCCAGAGCACCATCAGCATCGGGCAAACAAGTGAAAAGACGAGAACACGCACTAGCTAGGAGCGGGACGCGGCCAGAACACCATCAGCATCGGGTAAGCAAGTAAAAATATGAGAAGACGCACTTTCTGAGAGCAGGACGCGGCCAGAGCACCATCAGCATCGGGCAAACAAGTGAAAAGACGAGAACACGCACTAGCTAAGAGCGGGACGCGGCCAGAACACCATCAGCATCGGGTAAGCAAGTAAAAATATGAGAAGACGCACTTTCTGAGAGCAGGACGCGGCCAGAGCACCATCAGCATCGGGCAAACAAGTGAAAAGACGAGAACACGCACTAGCTAAGAGCGGGACGCGGCCAGAACACCATCAGCATCGGGTAAGCAAGTAAAAAGATGAGAAGACGCACTTTCTGAGAGCATGACGCGGCCAGAACACCATCAGCGTCTGGCAAGCAAGTAAAAAGATGAGAAGACGCAGCAGGACAACATAGAATGACATCATGGTGTCACGGTTAGCATCGTTCGGTGGTCACGTCCAACATACAGTTCATCCGGAAAATGCCGGATGAACAATATTACTAAATCGGGATGTCACACTCAGACTCATCGATCAGTCACTGGGCCAACGACTTCAGATTTATTATCGACTATCTCTTACATCGCGTAGCATGAATAACGACGGGAACGCCAACGTCGGAGGAGACAGAAACGCCAACGTCGGAGGAGATAGAAACGCTGACGTCAGAGGAGAGGAAAACGGGAACGAAAATCAGCTTCCTCAACATCTATTCCAGCATATGCCGCGCCCTCGAGAAGTGATCTTCGCGATGAGCGAAAGGCAAATTGTGAGGGATACATATATTAGCAAATATAATACTGACATTAATAAAGGAGTTAATGTATGTTACATGGGCCGCTGCGCGAATGCGCGTACGCCAACGAGTCTACCGTCCAGAAGTGCCGTTTATCCCAAACCCGTTGCCTCCGTTGTGGCCGGACGAAGTGCGTGCGATGATGGTGTTATGGATTGCGAGGGAGCGTCGCATGTTTGAGATGGAAGTCAGAGAGCTCGAATACCTTTTAGGATTGAGATGTGCGCGTTAGCGCTCTATGATAGGTAAGCCATCACCATCTTGATAAAAAAATCCAAAGACTTACACGTTTCAGACCGCGTACGGACGAAGATGGCTGAAGGATCTAGTTAAGCGGCTGCACAAAGCGGATGTATAGCACAATATGTACTTTTACCAGACACTCGAGCTCCAGAAGACAAGTTTGGCGTTGATAGCTTCGGAAGGTCAGCCAAAACACGTTCCCAAGACCGAAACTACCTCGGCATACTAAGGGACATGTTCGTAAGACAACCAGTTGGCGGAGCGGAAGTGCATGGTGCATCCGCAGAATCGAGCGTCGGAGTAGTCGAGGTCAAGGTGTCAGAAGGTCAGCTAAACACGCGCGAGACCGAAACTGCCTCGGCATACTACGGCGACATGTTGTTAAGACCACCAGTTGGCACAGCGGAAGTGCGTGGTGTATAGAGATGATCGTGAGCAGGGATACTAGGTGAACGACGTTGAGTTATAATATAAAGCGGACGATCAAGAAAAAGAACTCACCTGTCGACGGCATGAGCTCGGACGATCATTCACTAGGGAATGGCATTCCTGTCTACCAGGTCCGAATCAAACAATGGCGTTCATGCAAGGTAACAGAGATACTGCGAGCGTGCGACGCCCTGCATCTGAGGATGAGATATGGTGGAGACTGGGATGCATCGCCTGGAGCTGGGCCTCACCTTCGCATTCCGTCACTGAAGTACAGCACCAGGGGCTCACTTGTCCTAGCCGTTGGTACAAAGGGATGCCATTTGAGGGGAATCAATGACGGCCTACCTTAGTAGAAATGAGGTTAGTTACTAATGAAGGACATCCCGGAACAGGAGACAAAGGACGTGGCTGACATAGGAGACGAGCATATAATCAATCTTCAATCATCCAGATAGAAAGTCCGACGGCGTTTGTGGCGTTTTGCATACCTCACATTGGACTCATGCACAGATCGACATGATGAAATCTTGGATTGGAGGCTGATCCGACTCGTCAGCCAATACTTGCAGAGGAATGGAAGTATGTACTCAAGATTGTTAATAGATGTGGAGTGTCATCTCTCACTGCAGCATGCATGAAACAACTCCTCAAAGTAGGGTGCCAGAAGGCAGGTCATTCAAAACCTGCCTTACAAATTGATTATCCGTATTCCATATTACCCATGCACCATGCATGGAACAACCCCCCACAGTAGTTGTGCCAGAAGGCAGGTCATTCAAAACCTGCCTTACAAATTAATCACCTGTATTCCATATTACCATTATCAGTGGACCACCAGCATATAACAGAAGAAAGTAGGAAGGCCATGTACCATTAGCAAACCATGATTCCGACTGAAGTCAGAGTCACTGATAAGGGTAGAACAAACATCTTGGCATGGGGCATTGTGTGAAACCCTGTAAAAACAGGTCACAATCATAAAAGCTGACTCAGAGCACGATGAGGACTTACCTGATGCCCTTCAATCATAAGTGGTGGAGATGCACTTCCAAGTCAACGAGGACTTAGAAGAGGTCAGCGTTAACCTGAACCGTAGCGATAAAACGGATATGCAGCCAAATAAGCACAAATACAGTCTTGAATTGGTGAAGACAACTTTTTTTGGTTCCTTGAAACACCGCTGTCACACAGGTGTGTTACATCACATTATATCAGCAACTGCCCCGGTTCTCAGTTCTCTGAAGACCTCTTTCAGGATCTTGATCCCGTAGAACCAATTCGCAATTCGCATTGATGCCCGTGCTCCACTTGAACCCTCATAGACGGGCTGGTCACCAGTCTACTTGAACCCCTTTCATGCTCCAATTTGACTCAGGCGTAGCTGCCCCCAAACTTTCGCACGCTTGGCAGGTGATCGATTGATCGACGATCCATTGTTCGGATTATTCAAGCTCATAATTATCATGGCGTCCGTCGGCTTGCTCTTTCCATGGTATCGTTGGTATTCCACTCCCCATGCTCTTGAGGAGAAGTGGTTCTAAAGACAGGATAGCGGCAGTGATCTTCCTGCCTCCGTAAGTAATATCATCTGCACTCTCACACATCTCTCGCAATCCTTATACTTTTTGAGCAGTTCCTCTGTGGTCGCTCTGATGGGCCGGCAGTAAATCAAGTTCCTCCTTCGTGCTGAATGCTCGGTCAGCCGAGCCACTCGGAAGCAAACTAATCACTAATCCCTTTCAAGCTTGACCCACCCATGATGCACCCCGCATAAGGTAACCCTTTGTGTAAACGCATGAAGCGCAAGGCTCCCTTCAAATGCACCTCTTTGTGCTGAATGCTAGGCCACTGAGCCACTCGGAAGCAAGATTTGAATCAGATGTCTTTATATCGAGTCTTCAAATGCCATCGGTACCACACTCTTCCTCTTCACCTCGACCTTTGCATATTTATCAGCACCTTGAAAAGCAGAAAATCCACAAACGGCACTACTGGATGAAGTCGAAAAAGACACTCCTCTGCCGGTGTCGGCGGCTTGGATGCGGTATGGTCATCACCCAGCCTTTTGATGAACGTTCGGACCCAGTGAGAGGCGTTTGGTTGCCACCAGCAACGTTCTACCGTCATAAACGATTCGATAGGGCTTGCATGGATATTGAGGATGAGGCGAACCCTTGTGAGAGCTCTCTAGTTCGCGAGCAGTCTGTCGGTGCGGGGGTGACATCCCCCTCTGCTGCCCCCACCAGCATCGACTACCCCGACGCTGTCAACGTTCCGCGCTTCTTACGTGATATCCCTGATGAAGCCTCTGCAGCAGGCAGGCTGATCCCCGACGTTAGCCCCTCCTCATTATTGGCTGACACTGATAACGTCGCACGAGCTGTTCAAGACCTACAGCACGTTATCAAATTCATTAACCAGTCAGCAGCATCGCTTTCGTATACAAACCTTATCTTCGACAGACCTCACAAGGGCAATTTTGTCCCGACAGCGCATCCTGACGCTCCCAATATTGGCCCATGTAAACTCCAGGTTGAGGCAAAAGAAAATGCATCGATCCTACGTCACGAGCGCAAAATGTTCCAGGCCCTCATAGCCGTTCAATCCATTGATCGACCCATTTCCTTGGAGTCAACAGCCGCAGCGGTTTTGCAACGTGCTGCCGACGAGTTGCAACGCATCGATGACATCAAAGCCGGAGAGTGGGAACGCCAGCGTTGTTCCAGCGTCAGTATTCAGCCTGAGGACGCAGTGCGTGGCTCAAAGGTTCCAGTTATAATCAACACCGGTAAACCTACTAGATGTTGTTTCAAATGCAATTTTTTGATGAACAAACAGATATATACTTTCGTCAGTATGAAAGCCACCCTGCAACATTGGCCTGCTACTTCCTAATCTTGACGCTTTCCCTGCTTTGTGGCTTATCGCGCGAGAAATGCAATTTCGCACTCGCGACACTACGCTTCATTATGCGGTGTCTCGTTGTCGAAACCAACATATCACCATCATCAGAAGAAGCTCGTTTGGCCGACCTTCCTCGGGATTCTCGCACACTGCTGAAACGCATCCACCTTGATCCAAAATGCAAATCTTACATAACATGCCCATCCTGCTTCAAGCTATACAACGATGACGATTTCGCGTGCCCCGAGTATTGCATTCACTCCCCACTCCCCGGTGCTCCGCAATGCTCTACAAAGCTGAAGCGCACCCGCATCATACGTGGAACGGCTTTTGAACGCCCTGTGAAGAAGTACTTGTATCAGGATATGAAGCAATGGCTTGCACGATTCTTATCTCGCTCAGACATCGAAAGCAAGCTAGAACGGGGGTCGGCGGCAAACATGAAGGTAGCTGATGGCGAACAGCATGACATCTGGGATGCAGAGGTCCTACAAAACTTTCAAGGCCCAGACGGCAGCCCTTTCGTATGCGGACCACCCAAAGAGTTACGCCTCGTGTTTTCTCTTGGCGTCGATGGATTTAATCCATCAGGTATGAAGATCGGGAAGGGTAGCGCTTCGTCCACAGGGATATACATGGTATGCCTGAACCTACCCGTCGACCTCCGCTACCACCCTGAGAACATGTATTTGGTTGGCGTGTTACCTGGCCCAAACAG